ATGTACGGAAAATCACTGATCTCAATCAAAAGATCACTAATGCCATTGCCACCATTGATGAGGCTATGCTACAACGAACATGTCAAGAAATCAAGTACCGTCTTGATGTGATTCGTGCAGCTAATGATGCTCACAGAGAGGTGGATTAAATTAGTTTTTTAAAAAATTTCAATACCCCTCATTTTGTAACAATTTCTACATACTTTCTGTTCATTTGCTTTTGTAATAATTTTTTTAATCACATTGAATGGTGTCCTGTTGATGAAATAGGTTCTTTTAAATGAACCCCTAACATTCCCAGACGAATTGGAAGGGATGGCTCAATTATCTGGCCACCTCGTTCACCAGATATCACCCCACTGGACTTCTTTCTGTGGGGTTATCTTAAAGATATCGTGTATCGAACAAAGATACGGGACATCATTGATCTAAAGCAAAAGATCACTGATGCCATTGCCACCATTGATGAGGCTATGCAACAGCAAACATGGCAAGACATAATGAAGAGATTCATCGCCATATCCGGCAATTCATGCATGGCACAAGAAATTTATGGAGACAGTGTTGGATAAAATGGTGAGTGGATGAATAATAACATCAAAGGAAAACATCGATCGTGCAAATCGATTACTGTCTTGATGTGCTTCGTGAACCTAATGGTGCCCATATAGAGAGGGATTAAATTATTAAAAAAAAAACTTCAATATCTACTCTTCATTTTCACATATTTGTCTGTTCATTTGCTTTTGTCATAATTGTCATATTTTTTTTTTAAATTGTAAAGAAACTTTATGGACACCCTGCATATCAATAAACGCGTGTGTCCATAGATGTCTGGTACCCATGAGTTGGAGAATTTGGACATATTGTTCAGTCAGGTTACTCCGGCAAAATTTGATAAAAAGACTCCCACCTCTCTATATACTTAGGCATACAAAGACGATCAAATTCTTTAAACAGACAGATGAAATTCTATATATAATTATCCTTAATATGTGTTCTCGTTGGACACAAACAAAATTGGTTTTAACTTTGAAATATCAGATAACAAGGTAACCCAGAAGGCAACGTCTATTAATTTCAACAAAGAAAATTTTCAATTCGTTTAAGGTAACGATATATCTGCATTAAAATAAAGATATTTCATAATGGTGTCCCTGTAGAAGTGGATTAAATTATTAAAAAAAAAAAACAACTTCAATATCTACTCCTCATTTTCTAACAATTTTCACATATTTGTCTGTTCATTTGCTTTTGCATAATTTCTCATAATTTTTTTTAAAAATTGTAAAGAGACTTTATGTACACTCTGCATATATATATATACGCATGGATCCATAGATGTTTGGTACCCGTAAGTTGGAGATTGTTCAGTCAGGTTACTCCGGTAAAATTTTTCCACATTGCTCTGTTCACAGGGCATTCAATACAGCAAACTAAAGACACCCTCCCCACAAAAAATGATATTACTAATAATAAATAACAACAAGCTTTCGTGTAAGCCTGATGTTTTGATTCAAGTGTAAACTGGACGTATTTACCTTTATGACTCTACTGAAACCTATACCATGTGACTAACTTTTAGATTAGAATGTTAACCAGAACCATACCTTACTTTGAGACTCTAGAGTGTCTAATAGATTTATGTTTACTTTTATTTATTTTTATTTGTATTTTAACTTGGCATTTTCCCTTTCTCGTTACTAAAGGATCATGGACGATTGTTAGGGTTTCAAATTCCGCGTTGTCTTTCTCCTAGACTGGTTGCCAATCACAGCTACAGAGCCTAATCTACCCGACTATTTATATAGCTGTGGGGAGAAGAGAGGGGTTCATAATATTCTTAAGGGTATTTGCGCATTATGAACTCGATCCAGATTTGAAATAAAGATCGTGTACCGAACAAATACAGGACATCACTGACCTAAAGCAAAAAGATCATTGATGCCATTGCCACCATTGATCAGGCTATGTTACAGGAAACATGGCAAGAAATCGAGTACCGTTTTGATGTGTTTCGTGCAACTAATGGTGGCCATATAGAGGTGTATCAAATTAAAAAAAAAAACTCTTTAATATCTACTTCTCATTTTCTAACAATTTTCACGTATTTGTCTGTTCATTTGCTTTTATCATAATTTTGTCATAATAGAAAACCAACCCTTCCAATGAGTACAGGGGTGAGACCTGAGTCAAATCAGCTTCCTAATGGAACAATTTCATTACTGAAACCAGAGCAATTGCCCTCATGTGTCAGGAGGTGTCATCTCGGTAGGTGCTTTTATTAGGCGTAAAAGAATTGTAATTATATACATGGTTTCCATAATGTCTCTTTACAATTTGAAAATATATTACAAAGGCAATTCATAAGATATCTTAATCAGATTTATTCTATGTATTCAGCAGTTATCACAGTTTTTAATCACATTGCATTTGTGTATTTCAGGTATCCTGTTGATGAAAGAGGTACAATTAAATGAAACCTAACATTTTCAGACCGGTCGATTGGAAGGGGTGGCCCAATTACCTGGTCAAATCGTTCACCAGAAATCACTTACCTGGAATTCTTTCAGTGGGGTTTATATTAAAGATATCGTTTATCAAACAAAGATACAGGATATCACTGATCTAAAGCAAAAGATCATTAATGCCATTACCACTATTGATGAGGCTATGCTACAGTGAACATGGCAAATAATGAAGTACCGTCTTCATGTGATTCGTGCAGCTAATGGTACCAATACATAGGTGTATTAAATTAGGTAAAAAAAAAAGACTTCAATATCTCCTCCTCATTTTCTAACAATTTCAACATATTTGTCTGTTCATATGTTTTTGTAATAATTTTTTTAAATTGTAAAGAAACTTTATGGACACCCTGTATATATACTTAAATTTTTTAGCATATATATTTAGACGTTTCGGTTTCATTTTTGTAGTCACGAATATATCAATTATTTGATAAAAAAAGACACCCACATCTCTATGTTCTTAGGCCTACAAAGACGATCAAATTCTTTAAACAGACAGATGAAATTCTATATATAATTATCCTTAATATGTGTTCTCGTTGGACACAAACAAAATTGGTTTTAACTTTGAAATATCAGATAACAAGGTAACCCAGAAGGCAACGTCTATTAATTTCAACAAAGAAAATTTTCAATTCGTTTAAGGTAACGATATATCTGCATTAGGATAAAGATATTTGATAATAATCCCCCACCACTACCATGACAATAGAGTTTATGTCTGCATAGGCGATGCTCCGAGAAGTCTCTCAATTACTGAATAAAAATAAACGAAATAAATACGTCAGAAAGTATCTATGATAAGACGAGGTTAATTTTATATTAATTTTATATGAATTTTATATTAATTTTATTTTTATATGTATCTTAATTATAATATTTTTTTCTTTATTGAGAAATAGATTTTTTTTTTAATTCTCTATTCGAAATTCATTTGTTTCTTTACCTGATATTATCAAGTTAATTCAAAATTATCAGTGGTTATATTACTGTAGGACTGAGAGGCGGAAAAATAGGTACTTACCGTAGATTATTATAATTTTATACAAAAACTTATGATCGCCCATTATCGTCAGATGTTTGATATTAAACGAATTGCTGGTTCTACTTCCAGGGATGTTGGATCACTGTACCACAATCGTCAGAATCCATCTTGTACGTTTATAAATAAACCATTGACCCGTGCCTTGAATATTGATGCTATATCTATTATATAACAGGAGATTCTTTAGTCCTTGGTATGACGATAAACCACATCCGGCAGCAAGGCTTTCGATCAGGATGTTGGAGGTTTTGAGGAGCTTTGAACCACATCTTAATTGCTGTTTTTCTTTTCAGTTACATCCTTAGTCGGGGTGGTAGCACCAGTTAGGGTCCAAGCCATGGGCAAATAGTGAATCTAACATGACTTGGTTTCCTTCTGTCTTTTCTAATTGTTCTGGTCAGATTTTATCTTAGGTGTCTGCATGAAGTTCTCGCCGTTATACTGTTGAACTTGCTCTATGTAAACGGATATTCTATTCTAATAGTTTCATTTCTCGCACTTCTGTTCTGTGGAACTCACTTCAGATTTCTTGCTTCCCAGCCGTCTACAATCTTCAAATATTTGAATGCAACGCAAATCACCAGATTATGTCCTCTTCAAACCTGTTTTTTTATTTCATTTCTCCCCAATAAAATCTTCTCATTCTCTCCCATTCTCAGTAACCTTTTGTGTCTTAGCGACATTATCGCCTTGTTTGGGCGAAAAAATAGAAAAAAATCTTTGTCTCAAACTTTTGTTCGAGCGTGTCTTGATTTTCATAAATATATGTGTTGTAACCTAAGTATAGAATAATCAAACGAAGGTAGTAATGAACAATAATACTTAGGACAAGAACAGCACATATAAGATTCGCCAGTGGCACGTAGAAGAAGTAGTGAACTACTAGAAGTGAGTCAAGAGAATTCCACAATGAATCTCCAACTATAAAACGGGGTCGGGTAGCTCTTACCCGAGAGGAGACTCTGCCCTTCGATATAGCCTCGTCTGGGGATCCTCTCTGCTTGGTGGTAGAGAGTTTAACCAGCACAGCTGGAGACGGATCTCCAACTGTAGGATATCACGCGGTCAGATGTGGCACAAGGCCGAATTTGATTTGGGGTATCCGAGCCCGTAGGCCCGGCCTAAAATTCCCCGTACACCCTGTATAAAATGGGTTCAGGTAACTGTTTTCCGAGATGAGACTCTGTCCTTCCTGGGGTTTTTCCTCTCTGCCCAGAGGCAGAGTTTGACCAGCACAGCTGGAGACGAATCTCAAACTGCAGACCAACATACAGTATTTACTACTGTGTTTATGCGAATGGGGGAATACCCATTATCGTCCCTTAGGTAAGATACAACAATATGCTGCCACAGAAATCCGGCGAAATGTGAAAATAAAAGAAAATATATTTTTTTCTTGAGGTTACGTTTAACAATCAAACATCATGTCTTTTCGAGAGATGATGTTGTCGACCAAATACTGTTCATTTATATTAGGTTAGAGACCTAATATTGTCTTTTCAGGAGGGCATTAATAACGACTAAATATCATGACTTTGCATGAGGTCGTGGTGTATAATAAAATATTGCGCTTTTTCGTGACCAAATAGCGTGTCTGTTCGTGAGGTCATATTTAGTAACCAAATATATTGTAACTTTTCGTGAGGCAAGGATTGAGGATCGAACATCATGTTTCCCCGTGAGATCACGTAGACCATCTTTGTCAGGTGATTGTGTTTAGCGAAAAAAGTATTGAGTCTTTTCGTGAGGTTTTTATTAGAGATCAAATAAGATGTATTTTCGAGAGGTCATGTCTTGTATCCTGTTTTTTGTGATAACATGTTGAATTGTAAAATATGGTAACATTTCTTTAGGTGATGCTTAGCGCCTAAACGTCGCGTCCTTTGGGGAAGAAAAGTTTCTTTTCTTCCCCAAAGGACACGATGAGGTCTTGTTTTGCGATCAAATATCGATCCTTTTCGAAACTTCATTTTTAGCGATTAAGTAATGTGTCTTTTCGAAAGTTCTTGCTTAGCGATCTAATATTGGTTATTTTCGTGGGAAATGTTTTACAAGCTAATACTGTATCTCTTCTTAGCTTCATGGTTATACTGTGTTTTCTTTTTGAAAAGGTCATCTTTAACGAACAAGTACATTGTCATTTCGTGTGTTCATAGTGTCATTTCTTTTGAACTGTGCCCAGAGACTGAATATTGTGTCTTTTCATGGAACAAGGTTTGGCTTCCAATGTTCGTGTTTTTCGTGATGTTACTTTTAGCAATCAAAGAACGTGTCTATTAGTGAAGTCATGTTTTGCAACCAAATACTGTGTATTTTCATAAGGTCATGTTTAGTGACAAAATATCATGTCTTTTCGTGAGGTTATGGTTAACGAGGAACTACCAACTCTTTTTGTGAGGTCATGTTTAGAGATTTAACATCGTATCGTTTAGTGAGGTCATGGTAAGTGACCAAATATCGTTTCTTTTCGTGAGGTCATAGTGACCAAATATCGTTTCTTTTCGTGAGGTCATAGTGACAAAATATCGTTTCTTTTCGTGAGGCCATAACTACAAAATATCGTTTCTTTTCGTGAGGTCATAGCGACGGAATATCGAGTCACTTTCGTGAGGTCATAGTGATCAAATATCGTTTCTTTTCGTGAGGTCATAGTGACAAAATATCGTTTCTTTTCGTGAGGTCATAGTTACTCTTTCGACTCGGCCATACCCCACATTTCGTCAGAGGAAGCGTCTTCAATACTCAGGCTTCGGGTTTTGAGGCGCAACATTAAATAGTTCCTGCCCCCAGTAAGCCTCCTCCTCTCCAGTTTTTGAAGCTATAAAGTTTAATTACAAGGGAAAATGTCTCCTTAAGCCATACACACGCCTCAGGAGTGGGCTAGAGCCATTTTCTGGTACCCAAGGCATCCTAGATAAGTGGGATGTACCGTTGAGGCTGGGCGATTTGGGCCCTCTGTTCCGATGTATGCGTGGGACACACACTTTAATCTTGTATTATATTCCAATCGAGTTGATGTTCTGATAAATCCCATCGTGTCTCGATCTTTAGGCGGAAATATAGTTCGTCTTCTAAAGTTACACGGCACCCATTTTATGAAGAGATGATGGGCTGGGTTTAATCCCTGGTCTATTTTCAGTCTCCATTTTTATATAGACGCCAGATTCCGACTTTAAACCTGACCTTGTGCCATATTCATTTCAAGCAGATGCGCAGATGATGAAATAGCAGCTATGAAAATATTCCGGCTAATTAGGGATGACTTCGATCCTTACTGCGTGCACCAGAAGTTCGGCTTTGTCCCTGACATTGCTACGTCACCTAAAAGCTAGGAACTTTCGAATTGAGCGTCTTCAATTTAAGTTCCATTCACTTTCACTGTTTCTCTCTATTCCATCCTAATGCTATTTCCAATGTAGTTGCCTAATTACTATGAAATTAGTCCTTTGTTAATCTTACCCAGAAATTAACAACCGTTTATCAAATCTTTTATTGTCGAAGCTTTCTCATTTCACACCTAAAAGTTCTATTCTTATTCTGGTCGTTTTTTTTCCTGCTTCTTTTTAGTTTATTTTAACTTAGGTTTAGTCCTTTTCTCTTTCAACGATTGTTCCGCATTAATGAAAACGACAAAATGTATTCCTTTATTCAAATTATTTGTTCGTTTATTCAATTTGCATTTCCTTCCTTCCACATTCCACCCATTCCTTCCGTCTTTCTGTGTTTCTTCCTTTCCAAAATTACTGTTTTTTTTTTACTTGTTTTGAAATTAAACCATTTGTTTATTTGTTCGTGGGATTCTTTTAAAATATCACATTTCTGTTTTATTTCAGGTTCGATTTTCTTTTCTTTCTTATTTATACCTTCCTGCTTTATTCATTCTATTTCATTTTCTGCATGTCCTCACCACCCAATATATATATATATATATATATATATATATATATATATATATATATATTTTGAAATTTCTGTTTTTCTCTCCCTCCTTTCTTTTCATTCTTTCTCTCTTTTAATATTAAATCTTATTCGTATCTCACTTTTTACGTGCTTCTCCCTTTTTTTTATTTGGTCTCTTTTTCCCTTTCCTTGTATCTGGATGAATTAAACTCCATTTCTCAATGTAATTTTGGTCTGAATGATTAGGTAATAACCCATGAAACAAATTATTACCTTGATGGATTTTTTTGATTCTTTATTCATTATTATTATTATTATTATTATTATTATAATAATAATATTGCTCTCTTTTAACGCTGAGCTCTCTTGAATTCATATCGTCCTTGGAATTATCCCTTCTAAACATCATTGATATATATATATATATATATATATATATATATATATATATATTTTTTTTATAAAAAATTATATAATATATACTTTGTATAATTATATAATATATGCTTTGTATTGAGCACTCTTTTAAGAATAGTAATTGTTGGTTATTGGAATTCATTCCGTATATACCAATTATATACTTGTATATATATATATATATATATGGGGCGCTCGCTGTTATTTGTCTCTAGCTCCTTAAGCTCATATTTTTTTCTTCCCTTCTTCCTTCTCATTGCACATTTCCTAGTGTTTTAACTTTAAGTTGAATCTCCCGTGGAAGCCTGAAGAGCGGGAGCGAAACCGGTTGCTTCGCTTTTAATATTATGTCAAGTAATATTACGCCTCACACATTTATTTCTATTATTAAATTTTA